TCCTGCCAACAAGTCTTCCTCTGGCTGGGGGTCTGGCCACTTGAAATGAGAGTTTAGCCTACAAAATTATGATCTGGTTTCCAGCATTCCCACAGCATTTGGATCTGGGGGTTTAATTGACCTAGTGAAGAGATGAGAACAGCTGCAGAGTTCAGGCTTGGCCCTATTAAAACGATCCCTTCAGATTTATTTTAATAATAAACAAAAAACCTTTGGGATGGTTCTTATTTTATGCAAAGCATAATTTTAAGAAATAAATATGATTTAATTATGTGAATGACAAGGAGAGTTATTCCATGACTTATGCTACAGTTATTATTAATGTTGCATTCCTCAATGAAGTACTGTAGGGATCATTAAATTTTGACTTAAACTGGACATTGTAAGCCCTTTCTTTTTAAAAAATGAACAGCTTAGCAAGCAATATATAAACCAGAGAAAGGATGGATTTCTAGAGACTGCCCCTGTTCCCATTTTAAGCAGCAACTTAAAGGCCACATTTTCAAGGGGGATCTTAACATTTACAGGCTGAGTTTACAGAAGCAATAGCTGGAGATGTATTTGTGCATCCACAGTGAAGCTGGGGTGAAAATCTGGGTCAGTATACCCTATTTACCTGCTTGTTGCTATAAAACAGGCAGAGTTTTAGGCAAAGTAATTTGGCTTGCAGTTAGAAATGAAGCTTGCAAAATGAGGTAGATTTGGACTTCAGCTCTGTTGTGTTGAATATATACTTGGTATTCCTGTAATGTACATTTCCTGGAGAAGGGCAAAATGAGAAATATTTTCTCCTCCATCTTATTCCACAAGTTAGCAGCAGCTCAAATTATTGGTGTGTGGTTTTGTAAGTCTACCAAATGAACCCAAGTTGGAAGGTAAACAGGGCAAATGAAAAGGCCTGGCTCATTAAATTTTTGTATCTGTATGAGCTGTATCAGGAAGCACTCACAGCAACCCAGGTGGCACACGTTTGTACCACAGGCAATACCTGCTCTTTCTCATGTCACTGGATCAAAATATGAAACGTAGAAGATGGGGCTGTCGGCTTTATTGAAAATTCCCTTCTTTTGCCCCAAGCAGAAAGTCACCATTTGGGCCCCCTGTTTCTTGAAAATATCTCTGCCACTCTGAATGTTCAGATAAAAGCTATATTTGAAAAGTTTTTGATGTTTTAAAATTTAAGGTCTAATTTTAAATTTCATGAAAATGTCAACTAGTCTGTAAAAGTTATGAGAGCGTTGCAATTCTTATTATGCCTGCCAGGAAATTATTAAAAACCTAGAAGACTATCCAGAAACCAAAAGATGAAGGAGAATGAGTGGAGCCATTAGTGATTGGACAGTGGGATACAGCAAGTTACTGGAAATGTTGTTTTTATTCCTTTCCTATCATAAATACTACCTGCTCTTGAATGTTTGCAGTTACCGGTAGGTTATGGGTATATTGATGAGTTGGCTGCTGCTAAAAGACATGGGAAATAAGTCTCTAGCAGAAGTTATACTTCTTCCAGGGCCTATCTGGTCCATTAGGGTGACGGGCATATACTCACCTGCACCATCACTGGGGAATGAGCATCATATAGAGGAAAGCGTCACACCGGCAGTAGCTCGCTCCCCTGTGTCTTCTCCCACTTTCCTTCTGATGAAGCCCATTTGGTCAAAATGTGAGTCCTTGGACAACTGCAGCTTTTGGGAAGAAAAGTCTTCTCTGGCTTTTCTCACTGGCCTGGAGTGTCTCCGTATCACGCCCCTTACACCTATCTTTCCTTCCCTCCCTCCCTATGTTTCCTCATCTCATGATCACACCAACAAAATTGCTCCTATCTCTCTGCCTTTGCTATCTTCCAGAATTCGCTTACACAAAAACATAGCCCAGGCTTTCTATTATAATACACGTTACAGAAACAAACCAATCACCATTTGTTATTGGTACATTTATATTTCAAAGCACGCAAACAAATTATTGCCTATTTACGAAAACCCATTTAATAATTGCTTCTCAGGCCTATGCTTCTTGCTTAATTTAAATGATGATATTTGCCATTTGCTGAACCTGGCAGGTTGCTTGATTTACTCTCCTGCTGATGTGTCATTTGTAAGGCTTGCAGTTTGGAGTTTCAAGGCGGCTTCAGGCCTAGCTGAACTTGTAGAGTCTTGCCCAGGTCATTAAAAATAGCCAGGACTGGCAGTGTTGCCACCTTCCACCCCAAGATGGTGTGAACTTCCACAATGGATAAAATAACCAGTGTGCGTGTGCATGGATGTCACACGCTAATGCGAGGTTGTTTTTTTTTTTAACATCCAAATCCAAGAATCTCCACACTCATAAATGCCAGAATGAAGATGGCCCATGCAGGTATAGTATGATACAGTCTTTAGTTTCTGCCCCTGGCCCCCATAAAATTCACGTGAAGTCTGGTTGTAAGTAGAAATTGTGCGGGGCTGAAGTATCTTCTGTTGCTCAGTGGAGACAGTTTTATCTGACTCCGTTATCTTTCCCTAATGTTCTCTCTGTAACCAGCTCAATCCCAACTTCCCCTCTGCAGGCTCCTCATTCATTCTCAGTCTCTCTCTCTCCATCTTCTTCCATCTGTTCCTGATTCCTTCATTCATTATCTGCTCTCCTTGCCCGTTTCTTTACACAGCCAGCTCCTGCTTCTTCTCCGTGTCTCAGTTTTGTTCTTGGAACTGGCCGAACTGTTCTGAGTAAAATTAAAATCAGCCTCAGGCAAGTGTCCAGCACCAGGACTTTTTGCCAAATGGTTAAAGTTTGGCAAAGTTACAAAGAGCTAAAAACAGGGTCTTAGAATGAAAAGTGTCAGACAACCTTAAATAATACGCTGTGCCTAGATATAAACATGACCACATCCTGGGAGTCATTCGAGAATCCTTTGCGGAGAAAAGTGCCACGTAAGAGCAAGAATCTCGTATTTAATCAGCTGAAATGTTCAGTACTTCCCAATATTCATATTAATATAAGCATTAGGCAAGAAATGTACATTTTATATATAAGAAAAAGATCATTATGCAAAAGCAAAGCAATAAATTGGCTTTTCAAAAGCAGTGACGTTCAAAGCAATGCTGTCATTCAATCCCATATTCAGACATACCAGCCAAGGTATATCTAGAAAGGGTGTGAATGCAGCATGTAAAAGCAATAACTCAGCATGGCGTATTGGCCAACTCCGAATTTCCGAGCCTTTTTTTTTTACCCCCCCATAATTTAAGGCTTCATTCATTGAGCACTTTGTTATAAAATTATTTTGTCAAGTATATAACCAGTTGCCAAATCTCTTGGGGACCTGGTATTTGATTGCAGCGGGAAAATATTTTTCTAATGAGCATTATATAGAGAAATCTAAATGGCGACACCATTTGGTCGGATGTTAGCTCCTTAAAGCTGAGATTATTATGATTTTTGCTGATGCTTGTTAATGATCTAACAGCAGATGTATGTACTCTTGATCCCCAAGAAAGTAATTAAAAAAAAAAACATTGTCATGGGCTTTAGGATCTTTTTTTTTTGTTACAAGACGATGCCTATGCAGAAGTAATCTGTGCAAAAGAATGATCCGAACCTTATTCACGCTGGATCGAGGTGAGAGCAGCAAACCCGCGGAGGTTTTGGAGAAGCCGTCCCTGCAAGTCCGCCCCTCGTGCTAACACAGGGTCTGGCGGGAGAGACCGGTGCCTGTCGCAGCGCCACCTGGCGGGCTGCCCGCGTCGCTGCGCGCCGGCCCCGGAGATGCGCGGGCACTTGCAATTGATCTCGCATGTGCTGGACCTTGACAACAACGCCGCCTGCATTGGTGGAGCAGGCGAGCGGCGTGTTGCAAAACTGCTTTGGAAATGTGGTGAGGACGTCTTAGCTGAAACGGGTCTGGATTGATTTTTGTTGGTTTGTTGTTTAATTGTTTTCGGGCGGGGGAAAGGTCTCTTTTTTAACGAAGAGCTGGGAGCCAGGGCGGCTCTTAGCTGAGGGTTTGGTTTCTGCACGGGAGCGGAGCACGTGCCGGGTGCAGAGGTGGTGCCGGGTGCAGACGCGGCGCCCGGCGCCGCCTCCCGCCTCCTTGGCGACGCCGCCGCCGCCAGGACTGAGCCGCCGCGCGGGTGAGTTGCGGGGCTGGGGCCGCTTTTCTCCCCGCCTCGGCTGATCCCTGCCCTGCCCTGCCACCCACCTTTTCAGCTGCTTTGCCCTTACTCCTGCAAGCGAGGCACCCACCGGTGTGCGCCCTCAGCACCTGCTTGCTCCCCAAAGCACCCAGTCTTGTAGGGGGCGCATCCTCTAGGAAAAGCTGCATCACTGCCCGCCATCCCCCTGGCCCGTGGCATCTGCAGGCCGTCAGCGATCGCCAACCGGGCACCGCCGGCAGCAGGGTCTGCAGGTGGTCGCTGACCCCCTAGTCGGTGCTCCCCCTCCCCCCAGATGGCGGTATCTGCGGGCGCTCCCCGCTTGCTGCCACGGTGGGGGCACGCGTTGTTCATGATCATGCCGCTAATCAACACCGTGGCCACTAATAAAGCCGGTTTCCTAGTCGCTGAGGATGGATCGCTTCTTGGCCTCCTGAAGGCTCGGATTAAGCGTGATGGCTTCTTAATGTGGCAGGGGAAATACTGCGCAGCTGGGTCCAAGAAGGCAGTTTTCTGGAACTGCTTCGCAGGCGAACCGCTCTTCTGGCGTGGTTCGGTACCCGCCGAGGTGCAGGGGCTTTAAGCCCAGTTTATGGAAATGGGAGTCTCTTGCTTGCTGCGAGGGCTTTATGTCTAAGGGCGAGCAAAACTCGGAGGTATCCGAACCCCAAGCCTCCAGGCTTGGGCCTGCAAGTAGGAAGCCCACCAAAGGGTTTTGGAAACATCTGAAGCCCCAGGTGCGGGTGGAGGATGTTTGCCGGTAGTAGGGCCACATATGGTTCTTGAATGACTCACGGATTTGGAATTGATTCGGCTGATTGGTTTGGAAAGGAAAAATTTTTTAAAAAAATAAAAAAAAATCCAGGCAGTCTGGAGGGTGCATGGCTTCCCTGCTTTCTCCAGCACTAGCTGGCTCTGCTCCCAAGGGGCGAGATGGCGGATTTGGTTTGGCTGGCCATACCGTGTTGCGTGATGTTACAGGGGAACGGCCGTGGAGTCGACAGAGCGTGAGCCGAACGCAGCCCGCACCATGGCTTCAGTCAGGAGTGTCCCCTATAGAAACAGCATGAACACAGAGACCGTCGTGAAAATCATCGGGAGCAAATACATCCGCTGCACTGTAGAAAAACCCACCGCGTAAGTATGGTCTTGGGGGAGCTCCACTGCAGGCAAACACACTTGTGGGATTGTTGGGTAAAGCACCGCTCCAGGAGCCTGAAATGCTGAGGAAGGGTTAGTATTATATAATAATATCATAGGTATTTTGGATACATCTAATGAAAGGTGGAAGTGAGCTTCCCAAAGTCTGAGAGCTACACACTAGTGCACAGGGGGCACGTCTACATGTGCAATTAATGCAAAGCAATAAACTGCATAGTTTATTGCTCTGGAGTTTATTGTTCCTGGGCACATCATTTGAACATACACCCAGGACCGCAGAACATTGAGCCAGGTCAGAGCAGCCATGGCAGGCAGGGGGCTCTGGGGGTCAGCCCTCTGGGGGTCAATCTACTGGCTGGCGCGCAACGGAGCTTCAGTGTGGGGCTAGCCAGCAGGCAGCCCCCACATTGAAGCACCCTCGTGCCCCTGCCAGCCTTTCCAGTGTCTACACATGTGTTGCTGTGGAGTTTTTTACTTGTAGTACTTTTATTTACAAGTAGTAACTGAACTTGTATTTACTGTTATTTACAAGTACTATCCCGTTGCAGAGTTTACTCCAGCCTAATAGGAGTGCACGCATAGATGCCAAGACATTGCACAGCTAATTAGTCAACTGCATGTTAAACATCTCATGTAGATGAGCCCAGAATTTAGAGAAGATATTATGACAGTAAGGCTGACCAGAAGGTATTTGCAATAATAAATAAGGTTGAGAAATGAATTGGAGTGATAAAGTTTAGTATATATATAATATTCACCTTTCCTCAGCATTTCACTCTTGGAATGGTGCTTTATCCAGTCATACCATGAGTATATTTGCCTGAACACTGGTTATTTTGTGTGTGTGTATGTATAATAAATTGGGAACTTTTAAGGAGCTTGGGTCAAAAACAGATCTCTTAACTTAAGGCTTCACTGAGCATGGTTTGCACGTAGTGCTGGATTTTCAGTGTGTGGGCCTCATTACTTGCACTGGGAGTGATGGAGGGTGCTCAGGGTTTTTGAGAATCAGGAACCTGAGGCATCTAAAATATGGACTGGTTTAGATTTTTGAAGGACTTTGGATAAAACTGTGGCTGACCAGAATTTTTTTAAGTGCTCGTGATCTCCCAGCTCCAATTGAGAGCAATGGGGCACTTCATGTAGGAGTTAGACTGGGTGATGAGCTTTTCAGAAAATCTGGATCATGAGGCCAGGATTTGCAAAGCTGCTGAGGGCACTGGGCATTTGGGGCGACACTTTCAAAAGCAGCTAAGTGATTTAGGCTACCCAGTTCCAGTGAAAGTCAGCCAGGTAAGCTAACCCTCAACTAGCTAACTCTCAACTAGTTTGGGTAATCAGAAGCGGTATAGCTGCATTAGAGCAATGACTTGACAATTTAGCTTATCATAGCTACCTTAGTGTCTATGCATGACACTACATTATGCAATGTCAATATATTCACTTTTTAATAGGAATTAACTATCTGAGAACCTGTAGGCAACTTTGACAATTCATCTTAGTTTAGGTTCTTGTATTGGAAAATCTTGGCCCAGATAGACCAGCTGACAGTTTGGAATTGGCTTCTTTTAGAACATAAAGAAAAAGAGAAGAGGTATGATTTCTAAATCTAGGAATAGAAAATATTTTTACAGTCCAGTGAAAGTAAAATTAAATAAAATAAACATTCAATAGGTAGCATTATAGAAAAGAACAGCACAGCAGGACATTTCTGTTGCCCTTTTCTACACAGGTGCTTATAATGAATCTCCATTGATACTTTTAAGCATATGGTTGTGTGTGTGTATGTGTTTAAATCTAACTAGACTGGAAACCGTATACTTTGTGATAGATATAAAAACTAACAAATTATACATGTTTTTATGTAGTTGATAACATATCACATGTTGATGCTGACATTTAGTGACACTGTTTTCATGAATCAAAAAGAATGGTATTAATAATAAATGGTAAGAATCTTCAAAGATTTGTGCCCAACTTTCAGTCCTGTAAGTGCTAATCTTCAAAAGGAAAAGGCAGAAATTGAGTGGTCAGTCTTCCAGTCCTCACAAAACATAAGGTTGCTAAAGAAATTAATTTGATAATCTCACTTGGGTAACTGTGAGTAGCAGCTTGTTCCCTTAAGATGTTTTAGCACATTACGGAATAACTAGCTGACTCAAATGCTGAGTGTAAATTGAAATAATAAAACCCACCAATCCCACTTGTTTCAGGGATGTTCGGGGTTGAATGGACTCTAGTATTTTATACTAATGACAGAGAGCAATGCAGGCTGTAAAATACATGCAATCTCTGCACAGTGATTGGGGTAATAGAAAAAATAACCTGCTTGATAATTAATAGCAGAATTTGAGGCAGAATTAAAATAATTGGAATTCTAATGTAGTGTCTGGGAAGAGTGAGGGGAACCGTAAATAATTCCAGTGTCACTTTTAACTAAAAATCCATTTGCCTTGGTGCTTAGCTAAACTTCTGTGCTGTTGCCGACCTCTCAGTGAACGTGTATGGTCAAGATGCTGGCATAAGATGACATGATATGGGTCAGTGTTTCAATCCGAGACAATAAAGGAGGGGAACGTGTACCATGACACTATAAGTATACATGTTATTTAGTTCTTGCTTCTAATTGCTAAAACCCTATAACAATAACGATTTCCTCTTCCTAACGTTTCTTCCTGTACAAGTTTTGCAGAAGTAAGAGGAAATTCTACTCAATACACAGCAGCTTGAAATTCTCTGGTCTGTATGATACAGAAGATCAGGCTTGAAATCTGACAGTCTCTTCTGACCTTAAGCTCTAATCCCCAGCCAGCTCCCTGCTAATACCTGAACCTTTCCATCCAAACAGTTAGCTTTCTAAAGACAAAATATTTTCCATGTTACTATTTAATCTTCATGAAAATGGAACATACATTTGCACCATGTTATATCTACGCTTTTTTTTCACAGCACGGGAAAGGAGAGCATGGAGGTTGAAACTCAAGCTGCACTCAAGAAGTTGCCCCCTTCTAATACAAGACAGATACATGGAAACCCTCCAGGTCTCAGTAACTCTCTTTGTCAACAAATCAATTATGACTTTGATTATGCAAGACAGAATAAAGGCAAACAGGAAGAGGACAAGTCTAAACACGCACGAACAAGCAGCAGCAGACTTTTGGATGGCAAAGTGAGTTGCCATAACTGCAGCCGCAACATTATGAATTGCACAGTTCTCCTAAGGAAAACTCTGTGGCAAATACTTAATGTCAAACTGGATGGAAATAAGCAGATCTCTTTGCAGCAGTGTAAATAATCTGCTGTGCATTAAGAGCCTAGTAATGCAAGCCTTATGCTATTGAGGACTCTGGGGTCCTCTTGAAGTCAAGATGAGCACAGGTGCCGCACTCAGCTCCTTAGCAAGTTAAGGATCTCAGAAGGCTTTGCAGACGAGTTAAGGTCTATCATGCACCTGTGTCCTGAATCGTCATGTTATAGATGGACAAACTGGTGCACTTAAATAGGAGTCTAGATTTTTAAGGGTTCAGTAATTTGAGGTGCCTGATTTAGGGGTACCATGTGCCTGGCTGGTCTGATACCAAGTTGGTGAGTTAAATGGAGATGTTGCCTTTGGGTGGAAAGATTTAAAAAATTTGGAGTCAGCCCTGAGTGTGGGATGGCTCAGAGCTGCCCCATCTGAGTGGAAATTGTGCCACTGCCTCTAACCTCCTTGCTTTCAGGGCTTGTTGCCTTCCTTACTTGCTTGCTCAACTCTGGTTTTCCTACTCTTTGCTTCGCCTGCTTGGAGGAACTGTCATGTGCATGGGCTCTGTTCTGTCCCCTTCAACAGGAGCATTCGGGGGGCCATATCAATTGGGGGTCTTGCTCCCCCATTTCTTCACTATACAGGATTGCTATCCAGCCCTTTTGGCTTTAAGACCAATGACAGATTTCCACAGGAAAAGCTAACACATCTGTTTCCTAGTTAAGCAACTTCCTAGCCAGGAAATGAATTTCTCCCGCCTTATCTCTCCCGGAGTATGTACAGTTGTTTGTTGTATTTATAACTAGGCCCTACTTTCACAGCTCAGAGCAAATTTTTGCCACTTCTCCTCCACCCAAGGCATTTCATGAATAAACCATGATTTGGAAGGCCAATATTTGTGACATCGTTTCTGTACTTGGAACCCGTTGTTAAGGCAAGACAAATCTGATGGACATAGGGCACTATGGGGAGGACACAGTGGTCATAAAGGATCCACTGACTTCACAGATTGCTATTTTTTTTTTGGTTTTGAACTCACTGGGGCAGCAGTGCCTAAATTACATTTCATTTAGCCCCAGTGTCAATTTAGACTTCATCAAAAAATGAAGGAGAGACTTGTTACTGATTCAGATTTTTGTGAAATGAACTGATTCATTTATACAGACTTCCTCCTCAAAATGTTGGGATTGAATTAATCTCTTACTGAAAGTAGTGAGCACTTTTCACCTTAATCTCTAATGTGGGTGCTTGTTTCTAAAGCTTAGCAAAGCACATGAAACACTTTAAACCTGTTGCTGGAAACTTGAATGTGAGTGGATTAGCTCGTCTATCTGAGCATCATTGCCCTCTCCTGGAGGGAATCAGAACTGCACCACTACGAGTCATGAGCACTCTTAAAGGATTCGTCTTTATCTTAAGCAATGAGGGAAGGGATTTCAGAGCTGCAGGAGCTATTTATAGGAATAGAAGTGTCTGCTGTAATATATGTTTCATTTAAACATGTGTTAGTGTTAGAGCGTAAATATGTCTGCTTTTTTAAGTCGAGATAACCAGCATATGCTTTGCGTGGTGACAAAAATCAGCATTTCATATTTGCACTCAAAGAGCAGAGACATTTATACTCCTTTGATCACCTCACATCTAATTCTGCATTTCATTTCCCAGGTTTCAAAATCATCAAATATTCAGTGCGTCAGTGTTCCCTCAGGAGACCAGACTTTGTCCTATATTCACGTCCTTCAAAAGCCATTTCTGAGAGTTCAGGCTTTAGGACAACAAGTAGGAGAGCACCAGGTAACTGTACTTAAATATTGCCATAATTGTTCACCTAGTAAACTTTTTCTATGATGTTCTGGTTCATTATGGGCATACTCCTTACATAAGTCACATTTATTCTAAAGGGAAAGAAGACAGAGAAAAGCTGGCTCTAAATCATCTTTCTATTCCCCAGGTCCCAACACTAGCTGGAAAAGCTCTCACCATCACTTAAAGCAGCTAAGTTATGTCAGCAGCAATTGAGGATCATTCAGAAGTCCTGGGGACCCCACTCCACCACCTCCTGTCCTTAGCATGCTCCATAAAGTGAGCAAAGTGACCGGAGCATGTCACTGCCTGCAGCCCTACAATTCATCTGTGGCAAGGGAAGTCCTTGGCTGCCCATTTGGGGAACCTTTATTGCTGTCATGTTGCTTCGGCAGCACTCGGCATGCTGAAGAATGAGCCTACAGGCTTGCTCAGTAGAGACATTCAAATGGGGCTGTAATGCAGTGTTCGCTCAGACGTCAGCTTTGCCACCTCTCCTATGAGTGACCATATATTACGTGATCACTGCTCTTTTTAAAAACAGGTGGTCGACTAAGTTATCGTGCTTAATTTCCACCAGGTTTTCAACCAAGGTCCAGCAGAGTCACCGGAGGAAGACGATTCTCTCCTGACTCTAGTCAGAAATGAATTTGGACGGGCTCCTTTTAATTTGGCTTTGTTGGAAGAAGTGCTGAGAGATCTTAAGGCTCTGGATCCCTCCTTCTCAGGCTTTCTTCCTCAGTCTCAGCTGAGCTGTCTCCTTCTGAAGCATGAAGTCCCTCTACAATTACCGACTGTCAAGCTTCTTTTTGAGAGGTTTTTCAAAGCAAATGACTCTGAACTGGTATGTTAATCTAAATGCCTTAACTGGGGGGGAGGGGTCAATTTGCCTTTTATTTATTTATCTTTCTTATCCATGTAAATCAAGTAGAAGAGATTAATAGGAAATAACTGCTTTAGCTTAGAGATGCTCATATTTTGGCTTGATTTTCTACTTGGGGGTTAGTCTGCACTATAGCAAACATGGCCTACCTGACCAGTCTGTTTTGGCACACTTCCTGTCTTTTGCCATGCCTTCAGGGCTGCTACTGTAATCAGTTGCAGGCCTCGACAGCAGAAGGGATGTTGTAATATGCTGGCAATTTTGCTTATGTGCTAGTGCCCACAATGATCCAACTGCAGATGTTAGCTCATGGCATTTAAAAAAAATTGCTTGGCATCATTAACTGGAAATGGCACAGAGTTAGGCTAATGCCGAGGGCTTTTGAAAATCCCACCCATTAACTCTAGTACAGCTGCTTGTGGAGAGTTTTCCTCACCTTAAGAATCAAAGACCCGTCATTTTTAGCTAATGGGGCTGACATTACATTTCCCTGCACCATGCTGTTGGATGCATGAACCATGCAACTGAGTCAGCACCCTCCAAGCAGCCACACCAGCAGTGACACTTGGCACCCACCTTTTATCCCCAGTGGAGCCCCCAGATGTTGCTGCACCTGTTTAGTAGAGGCAGAGGCAGGACTTGCTTTGCAGTTTTTAACAATAGTACTTTTCCAGTAACATTTCCTCAACGCTTGCTGTCAGGTCTCCGTTTTCCTCTCACATATCCCTTTCCTGTCCGCATTTGCTCTGCTCCTTATCTCTGTCTCCTTTCTATCCCTTCACCCTCAACTGGGATGTATGTTTTTCAGTGTCCAGTGAAGTAGCAAAGACACTGGGACTTACTCTTTGGAAATGAAATTTAAATATAAATCCACCCCCCCACCCAAAACCCTCCCCCCCAACAATATGTGAAAGGTTAAAATAAACTGATATTCCTCTACTCCCTTTATTTATGCTCATACCCACTTGTATTTTTGTAGGTGAATTATGACAAGCTGGTTCAGTTTTTAAGACTAGCTGCAGCAATTAAAATGCAGAATATCGAGACATGTGCTCCGGGTCTTCAAGTAAAGAGTCTAACTGCAAAGGATCAAAGCAAAAGGTTCTATTTTTGTTTTTTACATGTACTAATTACTCTGAGCAAATGAGCAATGTATCTGGGAAATCATCCTTTCTCAGGTTTCCATCTGGTAAAAGTCTTGTAGGTGCTATATCTTCAAAATATTTTCACTCCTTCACTTTTCATTGAGGATTCTCGAGTCAGAAATGGCTCTCCAATTAAGAAATGTTTTACATAGTTCAGAGGAACACAGATTTTTTTCTCTTGGATCCATTCAAATCACTCCTAGAGCAACATGTTTTGAGTCTGTGAACACCTACACTACATAATGCTGGGAAGCATCGTTTGAGATTATACAAAATCTCTTTACTTAACCTTGGCAAGGAAAAAACGGTTCAATTAGAGGAAGCATTTTAATGTTATATTTGTGTGTGCAAGTGCATCTTTGGTGCAAATACTGGCTTAACATCCCTGCAAATGGACGTTCTGACTGCCCAGACACACTTTCAGTGCATGCCCCCCTCTCCTACCAATGTATGTAACAAATGTACAAAGGTTATGCACCTATTGTGTTCTTCATCTTACTGCTGAAATTCAGGTGGAATAGTGGGTTTTTTGTGATGTGAACACCAGTGAATGAGCAGCTGGACTGAGATGATCACCTCATTTCTTATAGTTCACCATGCAGCAATCAGACACCAGTATGTTTCTGTCCCATGAGACTAATTGTTCTAATCATTGCATGTCACAGTGACATTAGGCAGTACCAAGTGTCACAGGATGAGTTTTCCACAAAGATAGGGTTTTATTAAAGCATGCATTAAGTTTAGTATTACCAGAAAGAGCCTGAGGCAAAAACAAAGCTGATATTTATGATAGATGGCTCACAGCCATGCCATCTCCGCTGTGCTTCTGTCCGAACCTATAGAGTTGGGCCCATTTGGTACTGGAGTGGAAAACCTCCCAGGAAATATGGCTCACTACAGGTGCTGGGTCAGTAGATGTTCCTCTTCCTTTCAAGTTGATACTGAGCCCACTGTCAACTTGTAGCTGGGAGGCATTCAGGCATTTGAAAGTACCATTTTTTAGGTGAAACAACAAAGTTCTAAGGTCCTGATAAAATTGTCAATATAAATCTTAGAGAAATTTTCACAGGAATCAGAGCATTAAATCTGATAATTTGGCCAATATCTGGCATGGATAATTGCACCTTGCTTACCCTGTCATTTTAGCTGGAATGCTATTTTTCTTCTCTTCCTACATTCACCTGCCAGCATATGCTAGAGTTTCTTTGTCTCACAGGAGGGGGGATGTACTTTTAAAGCATTTGGGGTTATTTGGAGGATGACAATAAATTGGTATTCTGTATATTTTAATTCTTTAGCTTTCTGACTTCCGAAGACCCAATACAGACCTTGAAGCAAGCAATAAGGGAACGTAAAGCGGAACTGGACATAGAAAAGCTGAGCTTAAGTTTTCAGAAAGAAGACAAGTCCTCTTCAGGCCTTCTCTCATTTTGTAAAGTAAGTAGGTACACTGCTTTAGGTTGTACTTTGCATTATCCCAGTGATAGGGATTCCATTCCTTAAGCTTAAAAATGTTCATGCATGAGAGTTGGGGAGAGCTGAAGAGCAGGTGTCACAAGCCCTAAAACTGGTTTTAGTAAAACTTGTGGCCTTGTAAAGTTTAGACTACTCCTATATTATAGCCAGTGGGTGCAAAAATAATTAATGAAAAATCAGTGGTAGAGCTTAAATGAATTTCTCCGTAGATGGAAAGTTGAGGCTTTATACTCCGCAAGAGACAATGTGTCATTGCTCATTGTGTCACCAACCTAAAATGACAAGTGAGAGGGAGAAGAGACGTTTTGGATAAGAATAGGGACGAGTGCTTTTGGGGTTATCCAGCACACAAATTAGAGTTTGCCTATGTTTTTTGGTCTTTTGGTTTTCATTTAAATGTAGGCTTATAAGTTATTTTTAATTCTGTTTGGTAGATCATGGTTAGAAAACGTTAGCCTTTTGTCCAACATTTTTAAACGTAAAATGCTTGGCTGAAAACTCTGAGATCCTCTGCAAACACTGGTTTTCAGTTTTTCAAAAAAATTTTGAAAATTGGGTATTTCTCACAAAAAAACCCCTTCATTTAGTTGCAATCCTACTTTTGGTTAAAAAATGGAACATTTCCAGCTGGTATTATTCGTACACTGTCACTTGATTCTGTGCTGAGTTTGCATTCAGAATTCTCCCTGGAGGTCAGCAGAGTTTTGCACGTGCAGTGTTTGAAGTCATCCTCCTAAGACATGGATCAGCCAGCGGCACACTACACCCAAGCATAAAGCATTTTGTTAGCATGTTTTAGGATGCTTTTCTGTGACACTTTTGCACAGGAGTTGGTGTGTCTGATATTAACCTGATTCATAGTAAATCATAAATTACTTGGTTAATACCAGCTTTCAATGGACATCTTATATTTCCAGGTTGAGATGATTTGCCAGAAGCATGGATTAGTACTAACTCCTTTGTTGCTGGAAGCTTTGTTCAAGAAACACGAGTTGTGCACAGGAGGCAGAGTACAGTGAGTGTTTAATACCATCCTCACTTGATACGTCTTTCTAGTGTATCCTTAAAGTTGCACTAGACCTGGGTCTCTTCCATCACTCTGCTCTTAGGTGTGTCATAGAGACCGGCAATTACAGTGGCAGGTCCAGAACCTGCGATTTCATAGATTTAATAGATTTTCAGGACCCTAAATGCCCATCTTTGGTTCCAGGAGGGTGGCGAGCGAAAGCTCTGGGGCACAATTGTGCTGCGTCCAAGGGTGAGATGAAAGACCATTCACTGTTTGATTCTCCACCATACTTTCCTAGCAGCTTGAAACAGGATAGGCCCTTTGCTTTCAAGGCTGGATCCTGCAGAACACTGAGAGCCCTGTACACCTAAGGGATAATACATGAATGCTGTGTGCCCTCGGAGGCTGGAGAGGCACGGCGACCACCCGCAGGCAGTGGCGGTGTCGGCAGCAGGGTCATGGCGGCAGCGAGTGGGGAGCTCCAGCAGGCAGCTGTGGTGGTGTCAGGAGGGGGCCAAGCGGGGAGCTCCTGCAGGCCATCTGCAGATGCCACCGGCAGGGGCAGCAGCAGCCAGTGGCAATCGGGGACTGCCCGCAGATGCCACTGGCAGTGTTGGTGGCAAAGTGGGGTGGCAAGTGGCGACCGCCAGCAGCATCGGTGGTGATTTTTGCAGGGGGTACACCGCCAAGCTCATGGGGTGCATGTGTACCCGCGTGCACCCCCTACACATTGCCAGTGGGATAATAGAGAGTCAGTGAAAGCTCATATGGCCTCATCTGGGAGCTGTTCAGCACCACACACCAGTAGACCTTACATCTCCCTTGATAGTTCTTTGACTGTTTAATGCCAGTGGCATGATACTGGATCAGATGGACCACTGGCTCGATCCAGTTAACAACTCCCATGCTCCTGCACCTGCAGTTTAGGCCTGAGCTTGCCTTCAGAGGAGTCTTAATGCAGGACTGTGTTGGTGACTGTCCTAGTACAGATGTATCATAGCTTGCTTCATATGCTAGACAGTTACCTATGTGTAGTGCAGTGAAGGACACCATAATGCCACTGACCTTCAGTGAGGAATTACATTTGAAAGGGATCAACTGTTCCACGCACTTACCATCTTTGGCTAAAGCCTTGTCTGTTAAATTAAACCCATTTTGTTAAAGACTTTAGATGCCGCTTGCCCATATGCAGAATTACATCTTTAAAGATTAAAAAATCCAATATAAACAAAATAAATCTAGGGAGCTGAATGCATGAATCATTATTTTAGTACATATTGTCCTTTCTAATCCGCAGTCCAATTGTGAAGCCATTTGCAATGCTGCTTCTTAGTAATTAGCAGGAATCAAGCTCTGAGCCACTTTCTGATTAAATGTGCTTAAAATCAATAAAACATCATGAGTGATTATAGTCACGTGAACTTATCCCTGTTGAACAAAGCAGAATAAGTTATGTCCTCTCTTTAACTTGTCAAAAAGAAAATTGGGGGCTGGAAGGAGGAGGAACGTCTGGTATTGCTACACATCTCCTTCCTTTATTCCTTTTAAGGGCCTTCCTCCCAGTCTTTTGCAGGAGTGGAGGGGAGGTCAGGTTATTTTCTGGAGCCTGCAAGAGTGGAAAGAAACTCTGGATAAGTCCCATACAGGATTGCTAAGTGATGTGCTGAGAGCTCCATGTAAAATTTGGTCATCTTCAACTTTAAGGACAATCTTAAAGTTGCACATTGCACTGGCAAATATGGCGGCAACCCCTTTTGAAAGCATTGTCTCAAGCACGTGTACAGTTTGTTATATGATTTATTGAATGCGTTGGCATACATTAGGCTTTATTCATGCCATTATTTATCTTGCTCTGATGTATATTTATAATGTCATTCTTCTTTTCAAAAGTATTTTTACACATTTATTTCTAAGTTTTAACTATATCTCTGTCTTCATTTGCATAGCGTCATTGGGCCAAACTGGTTTTGGGTTTTTTTGTGGGGAAGGTAGGAGGAGGTAGAAACTGGAAATATTTGATTTCAAAATGTTTTTTCATGCAGATGGAGGAAGCTTGTGGAGTTACTCAAGGAAGCTCACTCAGATATGGCCTCTAATTTGTCTCTTCCTGCAGGTAAGTTAAGGGGTTGTCAGTGTAAATTACATCTATGAGATATAATAAGCAGCCTGAAAACAGTCTATTACCAGACTAGCAGTTTCTGAAATGTCTTTTTTCTAAGTAGCAAACTGTCTTCTAGTCTGTGCCCTGCTGCTGGTAATGCCATCCTCCCAAGGGACCATGCTGAGCACTTTTTCTTTCAAAATGAAAAGGTCTTACAAAACTGGAAACAAAAAAGAAGAAAGTTCATCAAACATTTGTCTCAATCCTAATTAGCAGAACAATGTATATTTTCCAAAGGCAAGTGGTGCATCATAATTCCCCACAGCTGGATTCATGCAGTCAACTCAGGATGTTCACTGCTTGTAATTGGAAAGCCAATCCTCTCTGTCTCTCAGTAGCAGGCAGAGTGCACCTGTTTCACTGTACTTTACCTTTTTCTCCTTTTAATGGGCTTTTCTATCACTGCTGTTGTAGTGTGATACTTACAGGGGGGAAAAATCATGCAGATGTATAGGGCAAATAGTGTGAGCGGATGCAGCTGCACTGCTGAGGCATAGCAAGCAAGTTGAACACGCAGGTCAAGGTGGGGTGGGGCAGTTTGGCAGGGAAGCTCCATTCAACTTGCCTCCCTTCTTTCTCAGCCCCCCATATATATTATATGGTGCAGCACTGCATTGTACTGCTCCTGTAGCCAAAAGGCAGCATGAGACTTCCTTTACAGCTGTACAGCCCTCCCCGCTGTCAAGAGCCTTTGTCGCAGCCGGTAAAACTCTGTACTACCCATGTTGGGTCACAACATCTGGTACCTAGGCTCCACGCAACAGCATGTATCTAGGGGCAGGGGACACCATTCCACTTGCCCCACTTGGCCCCTTACACTCCTGGGTGTGGTGCTGCACTGCCCATCTTCTGTGGCTCAGCATAGGCAGTGTGGCATTTCCCCTGCCATGGCAAAGACCCCTGGTGAGGGGGCAGGATCCTGGCACCCTCTCCTAGTCAGCCCCTGGGATGGGTGCCCCTCTTGCCCTGCCCTAGTTATCCCCCAGCTGCAATGTCTCTCAGTTGATGCCAGCTGAGGATCTGCTTCTGTTAGGTTCAGGAGACTTATCTTAGGAATGCATTGACCTGGAGGATGCAAAGATGATGCTGGACCTGAAGTTTCATTGCCTTGTACCTTATTGATACCAGTGCAGAGTGGGCACCGCAGGCTACCAAAGCAGAGTGATTGGTATCAGCCCAAATAATGATGGGAGACTTGTTAGGTGGCAAAGTGCTATGCAACCACATTGATGTCAGTGGGGGGGTGTTGATACTCAGTGCCCTGAAAGATAAGGGTCATAGTTACCCTAGGTGTATCGATGCAGATACGGTCCAGGCATTAATCAAAGTTCTTCTGCTTGGGAGGGTTGAATTTGCTTTGCCACATGTCTGACCTAGCTCTGTGTTGTATCAGGGGAGTCCATATTGGAAAGCTTTAACATGGTCTTCTTGTTTCAGTTGTCCAGGCTGTTTGGCTACCAGCAGGAATTTATCTCCCATCATCTCTTCCTGTGTTTATTGACAAGTGGCAGTTTTTCTGCAGTTTTCCTTTATCGTACGGTGTGATCAGCCAGGCTGAGATGACACGCATTCTGCTTGTGTCTGCTGCTTGTTTAACAGTCTACAGAAAGCTGATAAAGGCCAGATGTATCAAAAAAGATTTCCCCTCCAAGGCCTAATTCTGGACTTTGATGCATTCATGAAGCACTCCTTAAAATGCAGGGCACCGTCTGGAGTGCACCAGATCAGGAAATGACTAGATGGGAGTTTTATATGATTTAGCTTCCTTGCCCAGGGATAGAAAGGAGTAGTACAGAAGGAACAATAAACTAAAAGGGTGATGTAGGTTAATGTAGCCCTCCTCCCACACTTGTATTAGCTAGTTGCTTTTCCTTATACAACCTCTTTTTTCTAGTCTCTTGATAGAGGAGTTTACCTTGCGTAGACTCCCTAGGAGTCAGTAGGTCAAATTCAAACCCAATTCCAAAGGGGTTGTGTAAAATGGTGGCGGTTACCCCTGGAAATAGGCTTGACTCAGAGGTAGTTTGTCTTGGAGTAACTTAGGCTGAGCAGGTTAGAGGAAGATGTAAATCCCTCTAGCTTAGCCTCTTTTAGCCTCACGTGGACTTGC